AATAATGTATTTTGCATCTTTTCTAACATGTCCTACGTAAAAAAATCGTGAATCTCGAGCTAGTCGATCAAAAAAGTGTGGATTTTTTTTGCAGTTTCGTAATTCTAATTTTTTGTCTTCGTGTAAATTATTTTTTGAATATTTTTTGAATATGTAAACCATTGAAGAAAGAAAGGGGAAATAAATAGCTAAACACAAAAACAGCGACCACACTGACCACTGACCACACACCAGAGAAATGCGTCACGTGACAAGTATAGTAGTCCCCTCCCGCCAGTGCACAGTTCTATATATACCGCCGCCAGCACTTTGTTTTCTTGTTTTACTTTCTCTCTCTCTCTCTCTCCTTCTGTTTCCTCCAATCGCCGTCGCCAGCTAGCTAACCGCTGACACTACTGCATACAATATATATATATACACGACGCATCGCTTTGGTGTGTATGTGTGTGTTATCTGTACGCTTGGATCCTCGACACGACTCTCTGCGACTTTGCGTTGCCTCTCTCTCCTCCTTCACTCATCCGTTCACTCCCAGCATGTGTACACGCGCGTTCGTTCTGTCTGACTGTGTCACTTAAGTTATCATGATTCGCGATGGTTTTTTATATAATATTTACTTACGTGTATAACTTTGCGAAGTTTTCTGTGAATGCAGCCTCATTTATTGTAACATAAGTGCGAATATACACAAATCAAAAGAGAGAGAGAGAGAGAGAGAAAGTCGTAAGACTGTAAAGGTATAGGACGTTTCGACTTTTAACTTTCAACCACTCATGACTCACGTGTTCAGTATACATACTATACAGGTTTTTTTTCGAAAGTCAACGAACGCCCATTGGCTAGTTTTTCGGCTTAGCTTCGTACACTCATAGGTTACGTAACTAATCAGTGAGTTGTAGGTTGTTGTGATATTGTTCAAACTGATGTGTCAGAAATTTAACTTCCATTCGAGTTCGGAGTGATGCAAGAGATTTTGACAGTGTGAAAATTTGTGCAGGCTGTTCAACGAAAAAGGAAAAATTCTCGACGAAAAACATACATTATGAAATAATGTAACACCAGTGTTTTAGTGATGTGTGATTTTCGGTGTTTTAAGATCAGTGAATATTATATTGTGTTATTCAATATTGCATGGGCCCCCACATTTTACAGTTAAGCGACGATGAGACAACGCAAAGCTGTGACTAATACCTTGTAATAATTTCAAAATTACCTATCAGTGATGTTTTGAAGTGAAGTTAAGTGAATGGTAAACTCGGTAAATTACAAGATAAGCAGTACATTTAATGTGATATTTGTGGCGGTGCCAAGCAGTTGTATAGGTTATACCCAGTGACTCAGGGTAAATCAGTGATTTATTATATATCCATACACAACAACCAAGTTAAGAGAATTTAAAAACTCGATGATAACATTTATCATGTTGTGACTTTGGCAATTGAAAGAGGCAAAAATAGCATCGTGTAAGAAGAGATTTTTGATTAGTTGCGTGAGCCATGCAGCAGAGGTAATCTTAACAAAAGTCCGTGCAGTAAGATGCTGAAGCATAAATTATCGGCATCGGCAGGCGGCCCTGGAGGCCCCGTCGGTGCGGTCCAACTACGATATCGTGCCGGGAGCCGGGGCGCGCAGCAACTCGTCCTCATGCGGAGAAAACGCGGCAGGAGCGCCTCCAGAAGCTGGCCCAGCACCCCGAGCACTCTCTCTGATTTGTCTGCCATGTCGACAAACTCTTCCGAGGTATAGGGATCACGTTGTCTTTTTTTTTTCATCTAAAATTTTTTCTGCGTCATACGAGCGGCAAATAAAACACCCAAACGTCAGCACATGTTATTTATAACTTGGAAATAGACGGATATTGAGAGAGGAAATAGTCACGCGGTAGTTTATTTATAATTAAGGATTATTTTTGGTGGCTCTCTTCTTTGGTCGACGCCATCTAGTCGGCTGCAGTATATATGAGAGAAAAAGAAAGTTGGGTGTAGGTATTGTGGGTTTCGGAACTCTTGGTATTTTTGTATACTGACCTGGTTTCGTGTGTCTATGATTCGGAGAAAGAGAGTAGAATGTATAATGATTATGAAAAACGAAATCAAGCTCAGCTAATTACCGGATAGTATATTGTATTACATAAAGATTGTATTATTTTGTGTATAATTGACGTTTTGCATTGCATCATCGGAATCAGAAATTTTCTAGTAATCATTCTGTTATTCGGGTTTGGATTTTATCTTTTAAGAGGCAATATTTGTCCAGTCTTATGAGAATGTAGTCGTGGTTTAATTCGCTAATGTTCCCATCGCAAACGTAAATGAAACGAGTGGAAAAAAAAGTTTTCTGAATATTTATTTAATGCTAGATTGATTGAAGCTTCAGTTAAAATAAACAAGTACCTTACTTGCAACCTTTACGTTGCGATAAAAATGAAAAAAAAAACAAAATAAAAAAGAAATTTCGTTATAAAAACGCAATTAGGTACTATTTTTTGTTTTTTATGTTATTCAAAGTATAGAAGGAATGGTCATAGCATAGAATATGAGAATAAAAAGAATTACCTGTACAAATATTTACCATCGGAAAAAATTATAAAAGAGCGAGCTAAACGTGTCCGTAGTAATCGATAAAATGCATAGCAAAACGTAACAAAATATGCGTAAATACTACAGATTCTTATACTTTACTTTTTTACGTACGAATTATTATTATCATGAAAGTACCCAAAAATTGTTTCAACTACTATGCAGAATTTAATGTTTAAACCCAGTAAATTCTCTCTAAAATCTTGACGTCAATAATTAGATTAACCTTCTACGCAACCCTTTTATTATCCGCCATAAAAACAACGCTTTCCTTCGCCTGCATTAATTTTTTTTACATGTCCCAAAAGCTCACGTACGCATGTATTCGTGGAGACGGAATTCGGCAGTAAAATTCAACATTGCCCTAATGAAGGAACAAAAAAAAACAGGAGAACCCATAATATCAAAGTCGTATAAAATAAAGCATCGGTTGAAT